TCCTTCATGGCAGAAATGCCATTTTGGATGTCCTGTTGCTCGAAGGTCAGGACAGCCTGCAACACCACAATGGTACTGTAGCCCAGAGCATGGTACATACTCTCCTTAGCCCTGGGGAGAAAACAGGGAATTCAGACATTTTAATTCAATGGAAATACTGATCATAAGAAATCCTAGGAAATGCATGTTCTGACTTGCACAGTAACCTTTATTCCTTCACCATAATCACCAAAATTATATGGGTGGTGAAAAGTAACCTCTTAAAAACTCAAGTACCAAGGACTTTCCAATGTAAACCCACACAGGCAGAACAAAATGTTCCAGGTTGAAGGGGACAATATGCATTTCCCTATTTCAACACAAGAGGGCAGCCTGCAGGCAGATTCCAAGCAAACCCACTGTCTTCAGTTGAAAAGAGGGCAGCACACTACCACCTTTGGCTCTGAAATAAGTGCTAAAATAAAGGCCGCTGGAAATGTATTTTTTGACAGAGAGATTCCGATATGTTTTTTCAAAAATAAAGGCTCATTTAAAGTAATTCCTCTCCTCTCCAGCCAAAGGCCAAGAGCAAACAAGATTTTGGAACAAGTTAGGCTGGTCACAAGAGCCATGACCAAAGTAGATGTCAGACCTTATATCTAGTCTAATCCCATTATCTGAAATTCCTGATTAAAGTTCTTGATATTTCAAATCATCAAGTTACAGTGAGAACTGCTTCAGGATTCTTAAGGATGTTAATGACTCCTAACGGATGGCAGACATCCAGATTCTCGGGCTATGAGAACATCATTTATTTTCTCAAAACTTCTTAAGCTGTATTAATTATTTATAAGGTTTAAAATGCTAATGCATGGTTTTGTTTTTAATTTAAATATTAATGCATAACAGCCTGCTGCCATGCAAAACAAATACAAGCCACATTATTTTTTGCCCCCACGGAAATAGTCTAAACATCCTTTGGTAATTTGCAGCTTGTCCTGAACATTGAGGGCACTCACTATCTGTTCAAAAGAACCACAAGGAATCAGAGCAGCTCAAAGTTAATCATTAATTGTGGTTTCAAACCTCACATTTTTAACTGGAAGCTCTTTCAAGAAGAAAAAAAAATTATTTCAAATGAGGGAAAAGTATTAGTTATTTATTTATTTATTTTTGAGACAGAGTTTTGCTCTTGTTGCCCAGGCTGAAGTGCAATGGCACGATCTCGGCTCACCGCAACCTCTGCCTCCTGGGTTCAAGTGGTTCTCCTGCCTCAGCCTATCGAGTAGCTGGGATAACAGGCATGCGCCACCATGCCCGGCTAATTTTTTGTATTTTTAGTAGAGTCAGGGTTTCTCCCTGTTGGTCAGGCTGGTCTCGAACTCCCGACCTCAGGTGATCCGCCTGCCTCAGCCTCCCAAAGTGCTGGGATTACAGGCCTAAGCCATTTAAACAGTGAAACATGTATAAAACTCAGAGATGAACCTGACTGAATACAACACTAAATCGTTTATTTTCATCCCATGTCATGATCAGCTGTGTGTCAGTGGCAGAGAAAGACTTGTTTGAATAAAAATCAAAGGAGATAATGAGTACAAAAATACAGTTAAATGGAAGAAATAACTTCTAGTATTTCATAATTATAATTAACAATAATTTATTGTTATTTCAAAACAGCTAGAAGAGAATAATTATAAATGTTCCTGACACTAAGAAAAGATAAATGTTTGAGGTGATGGATAACCCAATTACCCTGATGATCATTGAACATTGTGTACAGGTAAGGAATTATCATATGTACTCCAAAAATAGGTACAACTATGGCTCATCAATAAAAACATTCAAAAACCCAAAGAAGACAGGCAAGCAGGCTGAGAAAAGACACAGGAGAGGCCAAGAGAGAGGGAAAGACAAGCAGACAAAAGGAGGTAGAGACAGAAGACAGAGAAGTCTGAGGGACTGAGAAGGACAGAGGGAAAAAAGCACGGGACAGGCAAGGTGGAGATTGTGAGGCAAATATTGAAGACAACACTGAAAGATTTCCTTAGACTACAGGGCTTCACCATCGATTTCATCATTTGTTCTTAACCTGTGGAATGACAGCTGACCCACCTTGACTACAGCTATTCTAAATCTTAACAGAATTTCCATAGCAGCTCTTCAGCAGGTCAATTAATCTCTAAGATTCAGATGACCAGAATCCAGTCACCCTAGTAACCACTCAAAGTAAGGAATGAGATTGCCCACTTTTGTGCCGAAGTAAACTTCTAGGAAATTATTATATGAGGTCTAAGCTTCATCTAAACAAGTGTTTGAGGGCACAATGTAAGACTATTGTCAAGATAAAGACCGAGTAAACAGGCAAGCACAGGTTTTATTGCCACATCTGAAAACTTAACAGGTACTATTAATTGAAATTAAATTGCTTAACTTGTTTGTCGAACAAATAGAGAACTCCAGTAATATTCTTATTATCTTAAATTTCTTTTTAGCATTGAGATCAGCATATTCTGGTTCTTCCCCTCCCCATTTCAAAGGAAATTTTTTTCAATATTTAAAAGGAACAAACATAAAAATATTTCACTGAAGAAAGCAAAATTGAATCCTTATAAAACTACTTATAAGATGACAATATCTGAACAAGAGAGATTAAAATATGCAAAACAATCAGGAATTTTCTACTGATTATATTTGAAAACTCAGATTTCTAAACTGAATTTTAAAAGTGACCAAAGTAAGGAGGTCTGAACTAAATTAGCTTATCAATATTCAGATGGGAACAGATAAATTAATTTACAAGCATGACATCAAAGAATCATCAGAAACATCTGAAAGATATTTTATCTGAAAGACACAAAGTAAATTACCAGGGGCGAAGCAATTCTAAGGCATCTGTAAATTTGTTGCTTAGAAATAAGTTCAATGCCACAGCACATTCTTCGAGGCCACTCTTGAGATCCACCTTGGTTGATGATGAACTAAAGATCAAGAAAAAAACACAGAGAATTTCTGTAGTTTTACCATCAACAAGTTGTCCCCAGGGAGTG